ATGTTTTGAACTCTTATGTAATAACCCAAGACCTTTGACCCTAACACCCTCTTTCTCTCTCTCCTGCTGTACGGCCAAGGCGATGTACGGGTACAGGCAGAACTGTTCTGTAGATGATAGTTGATCAACACCTTTCAACGACATCCTCTAGCGCTAATTTAAGCCTAACTCGACCACGGATAAAAATATACAAGAGGCATGGTGATGGCTTTGGGGCTAACGATAGTCTTGGCAGAAAGTCTGTTAAATCCAAGTGACCAGATAGGATTAACTTATCAGATTAATCTCCTAATCAGTCGTTGGGCATCCAGGATCCTTTAACCGGAATTATAAAGCTTCCCATCCAAGAACCTGTACCTGTCCGAGGCGAGATTCCAGAAAACTCCTCAGCGTTTTCTCTTGGCCTTTGGGCTGTCACAGATCATTCCCCTAGTTACGATACTTGATGCAAATTCTAGACAGAAGAGGGCTCCACTTACACCAGTAACACTACACCCCTGTCAACAAGTTTTTGCACATCATGGATTCCAGAGTCAGGAATTACTTGCTCGAATCAGGATCAGTTGATTGCATTTTCTCGGATTTAGTTGAGTATTGTGAGCAGTACAAGTGGTTGTCTCAATAATTTATTGATTGATTATTACTGTCCAGAAGAGGACCGTCTTCAAATTTCATTCCATTCTTACATTACTTATGGCTGTTTTTTTTTTTTTTGGAAGTCATTTTTAAAATCTTTCATTATAACGATTGGTGTGGGCCAATGGTTAGTGTGTTTCTTGAGTTTCATGGTTCGTGTCTCGGTACCTCCCCCACCCCCAATTACGCATGTTGGGGCCGTGGACGCGTTGTAAGAGCGACGTTCAAACCCACTATTGGGCCTCACAAGAGAGAAGGCGAGTGGTATTGACTAGTTGCCTTCCCTCTAGCCCAGTGTTTTCCAATCAGCAGTGTCACCTACCTCAAAGTTTCAGTTGCCCCCCCCACATTAAAATCAACATTTTGTTTTTAATAAATTTTTTAATGCTTGTAAGGAGCGAGTAAATGCGAGAGCAAAAAAAAAAAAAGCTTTGAAAACAAAGTGATAGTTTTATTAATTTATCGTCGTCTCCAACTTTTTTTTTGTTTCTTCCGTTTTTATTTTTTTGGTGTGGTTTGGCTTGAAGTTCCCGCAAAGCTACACGAGGGCTATCTGCGCTCGTTATTTTTGGGTTCCTCTGCCAAAAGGCCGCGTGCCCCTAGGGGAGTGCACCCCATACTTTGGAAAAACACTGCTCTACTCTATCACTGCTAAATTAGGGGTGGCTCCCCCAAGATAGCTCTCGTGTAGTTTTGCGCGAAATTCGTTAAAAAGAAACGGTGACTTGTGGTATATTACTTTTTAAACCTATGACGTCATTCGGGTGGCATTCAGTTTTTTTCAAATTCGTTGAAGTTCTTTAAGTACTGTTGGAAAATTAACCATACATAGAAACTAACTCAAGACGTCAAGAATAAGGCTACACACACACAGACGACTCCCGGCAGATTGCCCCATTAATTTTAGTTAGGCTTGGAGATTTTAAATTTTCTAAAAGAAAGAAACAACTACTACTAAACATACACTAATTTTATTTTTGGCGTGTTGGGTATAATAAAGTTAAAGATGACGGCATAAGTGTCGCTTATCATAAAGAAATCACTACCAAGACACTTACTAACAACGTAAAGGATACACTGGCTGAAACCCTGAATATTTTCTGGATGAAAATAGCTTTGAAAGTTGGGAGAATCTGTATCCTGTCACTGCAACGTATACAGATATATTGTCAGACATCTACTAATGCTATGGATATTATAATTTAAACACAACTGATGGAGAAATTTGTGGAGTCACATTTATATTAGATTTTAAATAGATTAGAAATGTATTTATTAATTCTGAAACCTAATTATATTGTTGTTGTTTTAAACCCTGGTTTCTTTTATATATGTTTTTACAAAGTTATGTATTAATTTTTTATGCAATGTTTACTTTCTTTCATAAAACAGAACCAATAACAATCAGTGTTAGCTGTAGGTAAACCTAAATGAATCGTCTATCCTAACAGTTGACTTTCATTTTTAATGGCCATTTTTCAAAAGTATGCGGAGATGCAGCGACATCTGTAGAAGAAAAACTAAACGTTAACAATGAATACGTGCACACAGAAAAGGGAGACCCGAATCTGCCACCTATAAATGATCACGAATTATAAACAATGAATCTCATTAGAAAATACATTAAATTTCTGACTTTGATTAGTTAATTAGCGCGTTCTTAAAAATAATTTCCCAGCCGAAAAATATATCCTTGTAATATTCTGTAATTCACAAACACAAAAATTCGAGTTATGTTTTGAACTCTTATGTAATAACCCAAGACCTTTGACCCTAACACCCTCTTTCTCTCTCTCTCTTTTTCTTCTGCAAACTACAGAAGTTCTGTATCAACACAGCAACAATTTGCGATAAATTCTTACGTAGAAAAATTACTTGTACAGATTCCCAGATCGTAAACTCATTTTTCCTTTTCAAACTTAGGTTTTACTGTTTTTCAGAACCTAACTAAACCAATATTCCCGTTTAAAGTGCAATATCAAATCGTGACCTAGAATATATGTAGCTGCTTTGTAAACAATATTCACACAAACAGAAAGAAAAATATTTAAAAAAAATCATTTGTTCTAACAGCACGTAGTTTGTGGTTTCGCATGTTTTGGTGTCGTACATCGCAATGTTACAGGAACAACACACAGAGAAAAGTTAACGATAAGTTTAATACCTTGTTATATTGATTTTTAGTAACGATAAGTTTAATACCTTGTTATATTGATTTTTAGAGCTTACAGATACCGGTAACCATTTTTTTTTTGTTGTTGTTGTT